TATATATATATATATTATATATATATATATATATATATATATATATATATATATATATATATATATATATATATATATATATATATATATATATATATATATATATATATATATATATATATATATTTGTGTGTGTGTGTGTGTGAGTGAGTGTGTGTCTCAATAGTCAAAATACTGATGGTCCTGTTTATACTTTATCACTAACCCAGGGGCCCAGGGCCCCAGGACCAGATCCCCAAGCCTATCGGTTATTCTTTCTGATTGATCGTAATACAAACCCTTTTTTTCTAATTGGTAGTGAGATAGGAGGTGGCTTTTATTGCTATTTGTGAGTTCCTCGTAGCTCACAAACAAAATATTTAGTTTTTTTTGTTTTGCTTTTTGTAAAAAAACAATAGAAAAACTTCAGTTCTGGCCCTCGGGGGAGTCTCAGCCTCTCGACTCTCGACTCTCGAGTCTGACTGAATACATATTATATATTTATTCTCAGACTTTCAGTATATATGTACAAAGCTCCAATCGAACAACACCTTCATACTGCTACGAGCCTACGCCCTACGGGCTACGGCTACCCTGGCGAACAAGAGTGATCAACCGTTCATTAAGATTCTTGTGGTTGATCAAATTCATCATTGGCGTCAGTTGTAGTGTGAACATTGGGACAAAGTACAGCAGAACATATATCCGAGTATTTACGAATTCCGTGTGAATGGGATATCCAGATGGTGCGTATTTATTGCTTAGCGTGCAAGTTGGCGTCGAACGAAACTCGTCGCTGGAAAGGCTATGATTATATATATATGCCATATAATATTACAAAGATCCCCACCTCAGACAATAAAGAACTGCATCTACAAGCCTAAAGCGGATGTGATATCTAGCGGTAGGTGTCAGAAGTTGTCACAGATATAAATGATACACATCAATAGAGAATTGCAGCATAAGGCTGTAGTCATCCGAAGAGTTTTCACCTGCTAAGGCATTTAGTTAAAATTGATAACACGTTTGTGGCTTTTTGGAAGTTGATTTGCAAGAGTTAAACAATCAGATTTGGCTCGAAGGGAAATCCTTTTTTTTAATTTCCCAAGGGAGACAAATCGGACCTTAAGATAGGTCGAATAGACTAAACCCTACTATTAGAGATAGTGTCTTGCCTTTCGCATGCGAAACATTGTCAGAGATTAACACTGACTTATATTGGAGTGTTAAATCACGGTCGCTTCAATATATAATCGCAAATGTATAACTTACGGATGTGTATATACACATATATATTTAATATCAATATCAATACACATCGGTGTATAAAAGTTCGTCAGAGGGAATTGTGCTCAGTGAATACCCCATCTCAGAAATGGTCATACACATCAGTCGGTCTGGCCTGGCTTCAAACTTCCGCAAGGCCTAGAGATTCACTGTGTCGAGTCGCTCGTGCTTTCGCTATATAGCTTGATACTTTCGCATTGCAAACTTGGTCCCCAAGTTATAATGACAGCAATATACTCCGCATTGGTGCCATCGAACAGTGGATTGACCTGCACATACACCACGTCGATTGTTCCTCTGGCATCCAATTATTGCTTAATTGTTCCCCAAGTTCTCGTATCTACAACATACTAGACACTGGTCCCATCAAGTAGAAACATTGGCTATATTTAAAATATTGCGTAACCCGCTGTCCTGACAAATAGGTATTCCTTGCCAGAGCCTCAAGTTTGAGTTACGGCATTATACCACACACTAACTCTGAGATGTCGTACTGTCTGTAGTTGTAATACCCGGCTAGTTGCTCTGGCAATTGGTTCTTGCCCACATGGACCCGAACTTATCACTCGTGCAAAATACTACGCACATGTGACAACGTTATTCCAGACAACGCTGCCAGACACAGACCACTGTCTGAGGCGACGGCGTTGTAGTGTTTGCTGTAGGAGTTCTGCGTACCGGGCACTGAGAACAATGATAGAAGCATGGACGGTGCACTAAGTTTGTATGTATGTAGGGCGTGTTGGGTATGCACCCGCTATAACAACACACTCGTAAAGGTCCGGATGATTCAGCCGCACTTACAATCCCAATGCGCGGCAGCGGTCTGCAACATGGTTAAAAAAAGGTCATCCGCCACTGTTCCTGGCCTTCGCCATTCCTCATGGCGTTGCAGCACCACTAAGGTAAGGACCTATACTGGAACGATCCGTTAAAGTGCTACATTGCTGGTGACGGGAGCATGCTTGCCGTATGCACATCCATACAGTTAATAACATATATATAGTTGCCATACCCGCTAGTATGAGCAACCTGCTGTCAGGAATGTCAAGGCAGCCGACGCATCCAGTATGACTGTGGATTGGTTTGGGTTGGTGATTTGGATGTACTATTCACTTAGTCTTTTGGCCCAGTGACCTGTCCATCCCCTCCACAATGGTTGATAGTGAGTCGTGCAGGTTGGTCTTGGCCAGATCCGCGAGCAAGTCATACTGTTTAGAATAGAGTGGCAGCGTGAGTATTGTGACACTAGTGAGTGGTCAGGTTTGTGTCGTATGTATGGATAATGTCTAGCTGGATTGTGCATTGTAACGAGCAGGCGAGAATGCATGCGGTGTACGTAGGACATAGAATAATAGATGGAAGGTCGTACATTATGGGCTATAAATATACTGCAGGGAGTACATACCATCTCGGAATCGAGATTGGGGCTATATGCGATGAAGTGTGACCTTGTAAAAGCAAAAGCACTTTCCAAATAAGCTGCACTGAACCCACATTATACTGATATAAGTATGTACTCAATATATTGAGAACAATATGTACTTCTCATTCTAGTAGGATGCGTATGTACTTATTAAATAGACAAAAGTGTGTACTTATTCTATTAGAACAAGTATGTGCTCCTTATATTCACATACGCATGTTGCTACATGCTTATGACCAGCCGACACTCCACTTCGACATCGGTTCCTGAGCAGACTAATCCGCAAAGACCTGCATCTCGTCGTAGAGACACACGTGTACATATATAGACGCACGCGCTCACTTCATTTGGAAAACGTACAAGATTGTAGGAAAACGTATTAACTCCAGCTTTTTGTACAGAACTCTAGGCATACGTACCGCGCGTGCGGACAAAAACGTATGCATATAAAATGTACGCCTCGTGTCTGGCTAACACATTCGGAAATAGGTGTGGTTAAGAATACTATCACATAGTACTGTGCGCCACGTAGGCAAGAACAAGAGAAACGCAAATGAGATCCTCAGGGATACACATGTACCGATTGTCAACAACTGGACATTTGCACCCAATTGTAAACGCTGGGCACATGCACCCGTTGTAAACGACTGGGCACTTGCACCCGATTGTAAACGACTGTGCACTTGCACCCGATTGTAAACGACTGGGCACTGGCACCCGATTATAAACAACTGGACACTTGCACCCGATTGAAAAAAAACTGGACACTTGCACCCGATTGTAAACGACTGGGCATTTGCACCCGATTGTAAACGACTGGGCATTTGCACCCGATTGTAAACGACTGGGCATTTGCACCCGATTGTAAACAATTGGACACTTGCATCCGATTATAAACAACTGAACACTGGTGTACTCAATGTACGACTGTGTACAACGAACAGGGAAGTGTACCTATACAACAGAAGACCGCATGGAACGTTCATCACTACATATAGGGCTTGCAGGAAACTACATATGCAAACACACACTGTAGCTGAGCGCACAGAAATAAGGGAAAATGTATAAATTGCATGACAAACCGTACATAATTTCCTAGAATCCGTACCTGAGAAGCCTTGTATTGGAAATTCAGGCTGGCGTAATCCTCACTGTGCGGGTCGCAGTCTGGCAGCTGATAACAGTAACGATGAACGTAAACCTTTGAGTTGAGGGTATATGATGATTGTTGTGATAACAACAGCAATACCACATGTGAGATGGATATAAAGACTATGGTATATGCCTTTGAATTGAGACAAGATGGTATTTGAGGTGATAACTAAAGCAACAAAATATGTGAGATGGAGTTAATTATGAAGTCATACCTGCATGTTGAGAGGCAAGGAGAGATATTGTGATAGT